CTGTTTGAAATCAAAATGGATTATACGTATATATATTAAGCTTTTTACCTCTAACTTGACACGTTGGGAGATATTCCGCATTTCTCTAATTAACAAGAAGATTTTCTGTTCTATCACGGCGTCGATCTATTTTTATCATCATGTGGTTTTTACTCTACAATCTAACACAATTTTAAGTCATTGAATAGAACGCAGCAGATAAAACTTGATCACGGTTCCTACAGAACATAAGACATTGAACTGCATGAATCAGACACCTACGAATACAGATGATTGTAAATGATGAGTCATAGAGATAATTAAACAATCAATCGACAATGTTCGTGAGAAACTTGTCATTATCCTTCAAGAGAATCCTCATAGTGATGAATTTGATTATGGTTACTTGCTACATTAGTCCTGAGTTTGATTGGCTGAATGATGAAAATCGTAGATTTTTCGATTCACAATGTCAATGAAAATGCCTGATTCTAACAAATCGTAAACACATTAGAAGAAAAGCAATTCACGACAAATAAGACAAATTTTCGACACTTGAGGTTAGTGCTTCGCACCGAATCTTCTATTCAACTGAAACTCGAATACCATCTAGTTTTATATTTCAAATAATGGATTATGAAAGGCTAACTCTTAATTTGCTCGTCCCATATTGAAATACCATTTCCTATACGTTTGAAATTGTTGAAAAAACAGCTTCACGATAATTCTCTGATTCAAAAAGATATCTTCTTTAAAACTCAATTAATTTATTATTAAGAACTTTTCATTGTACTGTATCGTATATCTGTGTTGTCTTTCTGTGCCTACTGTTTTTAAATGTATACTACGCATATAGTTTGTGCATATTATCCGTCGGATGTTGCATGGAATCTAATAGGAGTAGATAAATTAAGCCGTATACGGCACTGAAGAAACGATGTAAACACGGTCCTAATATTAATCATCGGTTTTTTTTCTGACGGAAATTGTCTTAAATAGCGTTGTTTACGTTCTAGTAGGAAACGCTCGATAATTGTAGATATCAAATTACGGCTAGAGAAAACTATGAACAATGGCTATTGGATATTGGACGCTCGAAGGGTTTGTTTTATGAGAAAATATTTGTATTTAATGAGTTTTATAATAGCAACGATGTTATAATAAAATTAAAGAAAGACTGTCCAATTTCTTTGGAAAGTAAACAAAAACGTCCATGATCCGAGGTTGGCACTGTCCTTTGACATTTGTTCGTTTGGATTCGACATGATGATTTATGATATTTTATATGGTTTTTGAAAAAAAGATAATAATGTCATATATAGCAATATACAAGTATGAACAGTTTAGAAAAAAAGAGAAACAGAAACATATACAATAAAGAATAGTTTTTGATATATCATATGAAAATACTAATGTGAAAGGACATTATCATTTTCACGAAGTCTGATGAAATCTTTAATATATATTAAGAAATTCAATTAATTACATTATATTAACTACTGACTGATTTTAATTCGATTCTATATGCCAAATAACAAATAAGATGTATTGGTTAGTTCAATTCTATAAACCAATATAAGACTTAGTGCTATTCTTTGTAAATTCAACAATATGAATTATTGAAAAAAAATGAAATATCTGCCATAAAGAGAATTTTTTAAGATACGCAAACGATATTGAATCTGTAACGAATCATTCCGTATTTTCCAAAAAAAAGTTTTCATCGTGTGATACATCTCTTTTAATTTCTATTTGAAATGGATCTTTTTAATCATAAACATTTATAAACCATTATCAATAATACAAGATCTTCTTGTCGATTTACAGAATTCTATTGTATTAAGATAAGATATAAAGAAAAAAAAAAAGGCCATGTAAATCGAATGTTAGTTGATTCAAAATAAATAATAAAATTAGAACTGTAAAACAACGATTTAAATCAATTAGTGTCCACTGTTGATAATATTGTATAGTTACTTAAAAAAATCACATTTACAGACAATTATTAGTTAAAAAAATAAATGTAGAAATTGTCAAGAGACCATTATAAGATCAAATATAATTCTTTAAATACAAAATGTCAGCTAAAAATTAAGTAATATAATAATCATGATATTCTAAATACAGCAATGATTAGTTTCTTCCTTAATTTCGTTTAAGATGAAAAGAACAAAATTGACTTCATTGAACAAGTGAAAGATTTCGATCCAATGACACAAATACTTATAGTCATGAATTCCAAATATATGTTTTCTTGAATCATTATAAATATATGGCAGATTTCATTACGTTTGATCATATACCAAAAGTTATGTATTTTGCTAAACAAGCAATCAAAGCTTAACTGTACGAACATGAGATTTAATAACCCTTATTCTTCTTTGTATTAAACCTTCCATTTATAGTTAGCTAATATTAGAATACTAGTTAATAATATATATTTATATATATATAGCTTATTTATTTCTGACATTTACTTATGAGTGGTCTTGATTTTTCATACCGCTATTTTGAAAAACAAAATATTATGACGTGAAATACAAATATATAAATCAGCATATTACCATCAAATTTTCACAATTCTGCTTATAAGAAAACAAGTTATGTCTGGTGAAATACTTTGCTGAATTTAATCGATAGAAAATATAAGCATAGTGATTTATTATTTGTTTGCTTAGATTATATTTATTAATAAAGAAAAATGAAAGTGATCAATTACGAATCGTTAATAAGTTTTATTTTTCTTTTTGCAGATTTGTAAGTGATTTAATCATAGACAGGTAATTTGGTTTGATAGTTTAATTTGGGTCCATTAAAATTATTCTTTTGAGCAACACGATTTAAGGCAAAAACACATAACTAAAGAAAATAATTAATATTACTTTAATTAAATCATTCTTATTATTAACCAAAATATAAACCTACCGTTACTTGTTGAATATTCTGTTTGTCGAAACAATCAACAGCTTGAAATAAGTCACTAGGATTGACACCATAATCACGTGCAGCATTTTGAAAAAGACCAATATTTTCACGTAATTTAATTGAACCTCCTTGTGTATGAATCTTTGGTACAGAACCAGGTTTAAGTTTATTCATTAATCTTTAAACAAAAAAAAAAAATATAAATGGTATGAAAATATTTGCAATATGATTGAATCTTACTTGCATAAAAGAATTCCGTCATGAAGAGCTTCTTCATAATCGTCTGTTGGAAATTTCTCACCAGTTACAGCTTCGATCCATTCTTTTGCTGCTTTTTCTTGTTCAGGATCTTGTTTGTAATAAATCTAAACGAATAAAATAATATTAATAAAATCATTTACTCAACCATGACAATATATGTTATTCATACTTTGTCTTTAACAGCTCGATCTAATGCCATCTTATTTTGTTGATTGTATTGATTAAGAAAATAAATGCTAACTAGCCACAAAACAGATCTAGATATATGCTGTCAGTGTATTGCACTACACTTTTCCTACGGTCTCTATCCATGAGTGGGTGTTTTTGCTTGACATTTCACATCTTACCGAAATAGGAAAATATAGATCGTGGGCAATACCTATAATTAGGATTCCAAAAAAAGGAATACATTTTATATCAAAAAAAACTATAGCCAATACGTAAAAAAGAACAGTTATTTCTAGCCAATAGTTTTGCTTGTGGTTGAAAACAAGCTTTTACTTAATGCTCTTCGGAGGCAAACTATGACGAAGATATATATAGAATAAAGTAAGATAGATTGATAATTGCTACTTTATACATATATAATAATTCTGGTTAGTAAAGAGCAACAACCACTTATGACACATGCCGATAAAAGCCTAAATTAGAACAAAAATGATATAGCATATGACAACACCCTCTTCAGACGATAATAACCGAATTAGTAATATGACATTTATGTCTATAATGATAGAATTCGAGAAATTTCTTGTGCTCCATCTCAATGATATTATTTTTCTATCGATAATAATGAAAACATTCTTTTCAAATTATGACATGTGATGTGATATTTGAAGTAATGATAATAATGTATCATTTCACTTCATATGAATCGATTTAAAAGTTCTCTCAAGTGTACTCTGTCTCTCTTTCTTTTTACAATCTTGATATTTTCAATCTAATAATAATAAATAACAATCGTTTGACCGTTGTCATCGTATTCAACCATTGTTAATTCTCATATATATAGTAAACTACTAAAAAAAAGCTATTTTATTTTATTTCAAGCAAGAGAACATATAACAAGTTTTATTAAACTCTTGTCTATCGGACATACACGTGTGTAGACACAAATTCAAATCATATGCTTTTCATTTTAGTCTCTCCTTTTTCTATGATGCCATGGGAATAGAACTATGTTCAATTGGCTTACATTAAACAAATACAAACATATTAAGAGACATAGACAGACTATAGCATTGAGTATTTTATCTTCAGAAAGAAGAAAATATAAAGAACAACGCAAACAAAATGAGTTTCTTATATAGGCATGCATCGATCAACAGTATGTTATTTAGCTGTGAGCAAGGGAGGGAAAGAAAATTTATAAAAGATGTAAGACAATATGAACTTTTTCTTTTTCGTAGTCTTGGCTCTTATGCTATGGCTCAATAAGAAAAGAACGAAAGAAAATATAGGTGTGTGTATATGTATACACATATACATATATATTTATTTGAAAAGAGCGAGAGAGGTTGAATAAGTCCTTATTATCCTTTTCAGAACAAGAGCATACACATTTACACACACACACACCTAATATAACGTAATACAAAATGTCTTGTTGCTTTAATGTTGCTGGTTTTTTCTGTACTCTATGTGCGTTCATTGGATTAACGAGTCTCGTACAACTTTGTTTGGGCATATATTTAACTTTCATTCAAATTGATATCGTTATAATCAATCGTCTTATCAAAACTGACAAAATTGATTCATCTCTGGCATATATTCTTATCGTATTTATTGGCTTAGGTTTTATTTCATTAATATTAGCTTTCTTTTCTATTTATGGCATGGCTAAACGAAATAGACCTTTATCATTATTTGTTTCAGTTTTATGGGTTAGTTTTAAATTGAATTCTTTTTTTAAATACTATTTATATTATTTCTTTTATACATAGGTATTTACAGTTGCAATTAATCTTGTTATGTTTACGATATTAATTCTTTATTATTATGTAGTTTTTCCACAATTACATATATTTCTCATTCGTTCTCTTCATCAATCACCATCAATAACAAGAAATTTACTCGATTTTCTTCAAACAAAATATACATGTTGTGGTATTAATAATAAAGATGATTACAATAATCTTTTACTTGATTCATTGCCTTCATCATGTTGTCGTGTATCAAATTGCTGGCGTGATACTGGTATTAACAATAATACTGGTTTAAATACTACAATGTCATTGATGCATACTGATGGTTGTTATCCAATTGTTAATAAATATATTACTTTTGAATGTTTGGTAATTGGTGGTATTACAGGTCTTTGTGCTCTTTTACAAATATTAGCAATTACATTTATGTGTATTTTAAATCAACGTTATCAAAAATCTGATGATAATCAAAAATTTGTGATTAGTCACATAGGTATTGATTCATCATTCAATGAAAATATTAATAATAATAACAATAATAATATACAAGGTTCATCGAATACAATTGAAGAAATAGTTGAAGTAACTCAAATTTGACATTGAAAATGAAACAAGAATTTTATTTGTTAATAATTCTTACTAAAAAAATTTAGTTGTAGGGTTATATAATGTTGGGTGTATGTGTTTTTGTAGACACTAATTTTATCTTTTGCTGTGTAGGCAATATATATAGTGTGGCTGTTTTCTTTATAAATTTTTGCATGAGGACAAGAATAATATTTCTTTGAATATTAATAAAATTTATAATTCGATAGAAATTTCAACGTAAAAGTCTTTAAACTTGTTTATTTATGTGAACCACATATGAAACTTTAGCTTTGATTATATCATTGCAGTAGTAAATTACTCTTATATCAAACTAAAAGATATTTGATCATTTGAGTGTTGATCGTTGAACTAACTCAAACTATTGAATAATAGTCGTTTTAGATTACAATCTTTTCATACTTCAAAATGAAGAAGAAAACAATATTAGATAATAGTTTTGTACATAAATATAAATCTATCGAAATGAAAATTTAGTTTAACTTGTACATCGAAAATTATTATCAACGACCAAGAACAATATTTGTTTGAAATATAAAGTGACAGTGACTTTTTTTTATTATCGACAACTTGAAATTTAAGTTTTGCATTGCATATGATAGAACTAATTATAACTTATCTATTGATTATATGATGATGTCTTCTGTTGATATTACGTATGTTTCAGATATTTACTCATCTCATGTCGTTATTATTACTAATAGGTCGGCAATATAATTATTTATTATATATGATAATTCTACTGGAAATAGTTAGTTCATTTCTAAATATAAAATGAAGAACAATGAGTTAGTTGTCATTATTATAGAATTTGTAAGTTAGTATTTAGGATTCTAGCTGGTATATTTTGAATGCATGTATTTTTGGTAAAACAAAACACTTTTTATAAGAAAAATGTAAACTTTGAAGAAAAACAAAAAATCTCAAATAGTTCTCAAAAACAAAATGAGTTAAACTACTTTATCAGCTGCAAATTTTGGTAATATTTTTTGCACAATAAATTTCGTCGCTATTGGTTTTATAATAGTAAACGCATATTGCTTAATTAAATATATTCCAGTAATAGAGTACGCAATAAAACGAACCACTTTTAATATTTGATCTTGTTGTTGACGTAAATCTACGCATTTTTTATATGGAATTCTTGTAAATGCTACCATTGTATATAAAGGTATCCACCAATTTGGCATTAAGAAATGTAAAATACGATCGATTTGTTTACGCCAATAATATGAAGGTAGAGTCACTAAATGACGCATTTCACGATAATTATACATAGATAAATCAACAATTGCATGAGCGTCAGGTATACGAGTTTTACTAAACCAAAAATTATTTATTTAACTTTTGAATTAAATAAAATATTTACTTATATGCAAAGAACGCTTTTGAAAGGTGAAAATTATTTTCTTTTAATTTTTCAAATAAAACTAACGTATCTTCAAATGCTGAATTCATTCCTTGTGCATAAAATGGAACCATGGAATGTGCAGCATCACCCATTAATAAAACATCTCCATTTGTTGAAACATGTGGTGAACATTTAATTGAAATAAGTGGTAATGGTTTTGATGAAAAATATGTTTCAATTAAATTTTCTCGTCCAATAAATGAAATAGCATCAGGAAAATATTGTTGAAAAAATGTTAAAAGTTCATCAGTTGTTGTTATTTTTTGAAAAATTGATAAAGGTAAAAAAAGTGTTGTTGTAAAAGATTTATCTTGATTTGGTAAAGCAATTAACATAAAATCATGACGTGGCCATATATGAAGATAATTTATTTCCATGGCAAACTTAATAAGATATAAGATTTGATAAAGAACACAAATTTCTTTATTTTATTTACTTTTCCATCTTTTGGTGGTATACAAAATTCCATATAATGACTTTCAATAAATTCTTGAGAAAAATCAATTGAATCTATTTTCATCATTGCTGCACGCACAGCTGAATGACATCTAAAATTCATTTTATATTATTTGATTAAATAAAATATTTTGTTTTTTTTTTTTTTTATTTTACCCATCATAACCAATTAAAGCATCGACTTTAAAATCAACATATTCACCAGATTTACTAATTAGAAATAAAAATAAAAATTTTGTAAACATAAATTTTTCTTATTGATTTATACTTTTGAAATGTTGCTTTTTTTTCTTCTGAATTCCAGTTGATAAATTTATGTTGAAAATGAATTTTTATTTCAGAATATTTATTTGCTTCTGCAAAAGCAATAACATTCATAATAAGAAATGATAGAAATAATAAACATTACAAAATATGATATTACCATCTAGTAAAAGTTCATTAAGAATACGTCGATCAATTGATATAATTTCCTTTAAAAAATTTAAAAACAAATTATTTTAAAAAAAGTCTGCTTTTTTTTTTCATTTAAATATATTACATGTTCTGGACGAGTACCATAAGGTACAGCTTTTGTATGACACTTAAGATCATGCAACATTCGTGCACGCATTGGTATACCATTTCGAACAATAACATCTTCACAATGAACATAAGCAAGAGCATCACGACCTCGACGAGATAATGCCATATTAATACTACGACCTTTTACTACTTTTTGTGTACGAATATCTAAATCACATAAATTATTTATTTATGAGATGTACAAATGTTTGACAACAGACCTGGTCGTAATTCAAATAAATGAACATTAATACCATGTTTAGCAAAAAAACAAGCACATAAAGTACCACCCTATAAAATCAATTTATTGATTTTTCTATTGAAAGTTTATTTAAAGCCATTACGTACGAGTCCACCGCCCACAATGGCAACTGTTTGATTTGAGTGACTTTCACTAGTGTGTGTCATATCTATAAACTATAGAGAAATCAAATAGATTGTGACATCAGTATTTCTTATGTAAATCCTAAACAAAGTGTTTTTATACATTGTGTTTATAGTAAGTGTACGTATCAATATTTTTATTACAGACAGAGTGCATTAAAAGATGTAAAAATGAAGTTCTATTAAATAAAACCTTGAAAAAAAGAAACAAAAAATTTAAGTTTTTCGTTTAACAAACAATACCTTTTGATAATGAAAAAGGTGATAAATGACAAAAATGTTTTCGGTTTTTCCTCGTATAATCAAAGAGAGATTGGGTGACAGAATAAAAAAATATATTCTAGAATAATGTAAGAATACCATTTCCTATTGTTTCATATAAAAATTCATCTATCATCTTGTAAACAATTTGTTATTTTATTGAGCACAACGTACTACATACACTTTACTTTTTGAACAAAATGTGAAACAATGTGCATATCAGAAGTAGTAAATATACTGTAGGTTTTGGTAATCTATCACTAGAAACACTGCTTGCACTACTAATGTGTATACTGTGTGTACAAAACCTTATGCAGGACCTAGTTCACTGCCAAATAGATTGTAAGACGTTGCTTTCTTCTAATTTTTATTAGATGCACTTCTCAACAACGACATCTCTATGAAATCTTAAAACAATGAATTAATCTAGAATACTTTTACAAAATGTAATCGCGAACTCAACAAGAAACGTAAATATTATATGCTCATTATTGGCATCGACGTATTCTTGTCAATCTGCGACAAGCAAGAGTGTTTCAAGGTCATCAGAAGTAGTGGTGAACATGGAAGGGAAGATTTGAATGATGACGTAAGAAGTCAATCAGAAGATTTTAGCTATAGTTAATTGGATTTGAAGAGAGTGATGTATGTTGTTTTGAGAGTCGAACAGCAACAGAAACAACAAAACGCTGGAGCTGTACTGGAGAGATTTGCAACTTCTTCAACATTAGGAGTCTTTCACTCCACTAGGAACACCTTCAGCGCAAACCACTTCGATGAAAATTCAAGAGAGCAGAAGAAAAAAACTATTTTCAGTCTGAAATATGTGTTTACAGAAACTTGTCCCTGACATGAAGCGTCTCATGCGGATATGAAATAAGTTTAGAATTTTCTCAAACATAAATTGTTCCATATGACTTGTTGATTTGAAACAACAAATAAAATGTGTAATAGAAGCAGAATCTGCTAAAAAGGCTTGAGTCATATATCATTTGATAGTGTACTGATCTACCCATTACTGTGATAGGAACAATCAAATGAAAAAATTGGTAATAGCGACATCTCATCATTTTTGACTGGTGTTTTTGCAGAGCCAGTTACTCTTCTAGCAGTCGTATATATATTTGTCTAGTCTTCTTTTACCTTTACTGATCTACTTGTTGTTTCTTGGGATCAAATTTCTTTATTTACTCTATTAATATTCAATATTCGAATACAGATTAGGTATCATCATATTTCCAGGATTCATGAATGTTAGCCATTTCAATGATAATGGCACAGACATAAGTAATACAAATAAGAAATTGAATTTTGAATTATTTTAATAGTCTTATTATTGAAAATACACTTAAATAGAAAATAGAAATGATAATATTTTCAACTATTAGAAAAAGCTTTTATGAAATATTCGTTGCAACAATTCTTTTGACTATGTACTTTAGAGACAAGGTTCTAATAGTAGTTTTGACGATCAGAACATTTCGAAAAATAATGTGAACCAGTTAGAAAAGTCGACTTATAAGATCTTGTACAATTCATATAAAAATTGTATATGATATTGTCCGATTCTATATGCCAACTTCAAAGCTATTATTTTTGATAAAATCATGGTACATAATTTTTGTAGGATATTACTGTCACAACTTATAAGACTCATCTATGATTTTCCAAGATATTCCACAACATTGTATACTTGATTTTGTCCTGTTTATGGCTTCTATTGATTTGTTGTCTTAAGAAAAACTTTTATCTTGCATGGAGTATATACATATATAGTCATTGATCAAAAAAACAAAAACTAAAGAAAAAACAAGTACAAGCTTCGGAAATAACAACCAAAACAAGAAAAAATTGTTTCTATCGAGTTTGAGAGATAAAATAATTGTAATATAAGGAAATTTACTTGTATTTAATT